GAGGGTGCGAGGATTCATGATGTGGGGGAGCGGAGGTTAATTCCAACGACAGAATGATTCCAGTAAAGTGTCGGAGATAGACAAGATATTCGTAATGAAAGCGATGGATGACCAAATGGACAGACCCGAAATGCTCGTCCAGCTTAAAGCTAATACCATGCCGCACAATTCAATTGAAACAGTCCTCAATAATGAGTACCGTGTAGAGACACAGTGAGTACACTGCCACAAGAGTTAGTGAAGAGAATCTGCCATCTCCTATCCAATTCAAATGCACTATAGCTCAAATGGGGCGGATTTTTGTCGTGACCACACTCCGGATGAGTAAACTCGAGTGACTTGCAACAACGAGCACTACTGCATGATTCGTGTTTTCGGCATCACACTGATGCAGAGTACGTTCTCTTGGTGTTTCAAAGACTGTGTATTAATTAGTTGTAGTAACCATATGTCTAATTTACTGAACAACGCAATGGCCTCAGTTCATTCGATAATAAAGTCAGGTTTGCCAGCATATAAGCCGACTTGGATTCAAACATTATTTAACTATGGTTCAATCCGAAGTACTCATGTGAGTGCTTAAATCATACGCGCCGCAGGAAATGTAAATTACAACGCTGAGCTAGCGGAGAATAACGTATTGACAGTTGAAAAACCTGTCAATGGAAAATCACTAAACTCCAGTGGTAGAGTCATCCTCGGTCTTTTCCCGTTCTAATTGCTCATTTCTTATTCGATGATAATAAGGAAGCATCGCCAGAGCACCAATAGCGCCGACAAATGCCAAGCTGATGAGAACGTAGTAGTAATAGTCATAGTGAGACTCCTTGATAGACCGCTCCGCATTTTTAGGATCGAAATCCCGTAACCAGGCACCGGCAACTTTGAACAGGACCGCGGACAAGACCGAGCCGATGGCGTTGAAGCACAGGTTAACAGCTGATGCTACTGCTTTCAGTTGGCTTGGTGCGTGAGTATAGGCGACTTCGTAAGAAGTCGAAATGAGGAAGACTTCACCAGAGGCGATGAAAGCGAACTGTGGTATCTGCCACCAAATAGATATCGTAAACGGTGAATGCGACATGACCACATACTCCACAATTAGCGCACAGACCAACGCTAAAGCGGCAAAGAGAGAACCAATGCAAAAGCGAACTAATGCTGATGGCATTATATTACGCTTTCTAAGGAAAGGGAAAACCACACTATCTACGATGACTGAAGTCGCAATGACCGCTATAGGATCGACGTTCTGCATTAGGGCAGCCGGCATGTTCCACCCGAAGGTGTTGCGATCCATCTTAAGGCCTTGTGTGAGGAAAGTTGTGGTCATGTTGTTATAGGCCATAACGAAGGGGACGATGAGAACGAAGAGTGGTATGAGTCGGAAAAATACACGGGCGTCTTCAATGAACTCATCTTCGAATCTGCCGCCTTTACTCTTTTTGTTTTTCTCTAATGAGCATTTAAACACAGAGTAAATCGCCACTTTACCAACTTGCAGGACGGCTGAGCCTTGAGGCTTGGCTTTAACATAACGATGGAGGAAGTCGCCGACCACGAAGATCGTTGTGGCAATGACGAAAAAGATGAGTGGGAATACAAAACTCGCCGCGAAGGACAGTTCCTGCACAATAATAGGCGCTGCAATGCAACCTATAATACCACCCAAGTTGATCGAGGCATAAAAGTAAGTGAAAAAGCGAGTGATATCAGCCTTGTGGTGTTCAGGATGCATCTGCTGTGCCCCCATGACGTTAACACAAGCCTTGATGCCACCGGCTCCCACTGTTATCAACACTAGCAGAGAGAGATGGACCATCCAGGCTTGACTGATCGACTTGATAGCCGATAAAGTTAGCAGAACCAGCCCGATCATGTATAGGGAAGAGAAGGTGACAATGGTGAGGTATACACCTAGCAGTGTGTCAGCGATGATACCGGCGAAAAGTGGGGTTATGTACAGCACGGCGTTGAAGATCGAGACGTAGGAGTCAGCGGCGCTATCAGTGTAGCCTAGGTACTCCTTGAGGAAGAGTTGAAGATTTGGTATGATACCGTAAAAAGCAAGGCGTTCGCAGAACTCTTGTAGTAGAATGAATCCACAAGCATTTAGGAGAGGCCGTTCGAAGTAGTGGTAGACATTGCCTGAGCGGTCAGTCCAGGAATACGGTTTCGGTGGAGGCTCGAATACACCTCGGACAGTATTGCTTGCTTTCGACATATAAAAGGTGAGGAAAAAATAAGGTGGAAAAACTACACGATGATGATGAACTTTGTAGGAATATGCGTGTGCGGCGCGTGAGGGCGATTTACTCGCGTGCACGCCGTGTGGGAGGGCTTAGCGATGAGATAATAATCAATCGAAGAAAGCAAACTCGGGAAAACGTAACAGTACGGCATCGCACATGTAGAGAAATAGAGTTGGTTCGTTTTAGAGGGCCTTGTGGTGCTAGACGGCTTTGAGCGTTGGTGGTGTATCCCACACAGAGACAGGAACGTCAACTCAGCGACGATTTAACTCCTTTTTTTCATACCGACTTTTCCTAAGGTCAGATGCATTGATAGTCATCGTATAGGGCAACCACATGACTTGCCCTTTAACAGTTCATAGATTGCCACTCGTAAGAGATGTGTGAGTTCGAAACGCAGCACAAGTGACACGCGTGCCATGAGCGAGTAGCGCTCGCCCTGATGATCGATTTTCATCCGATTCGCTCAGTGAGCGACGCTTAAATTGACTAATCCTAATGAACACACATTTGATGAGAAACTATCGCCTTTATCTCATTGTTGCTGTTAATATAGCAGACAACATGATGAAAACACCCATTCGCAGTACTGATGCATCAGTTAGGATGAAGTCTTGTAAATAGACCAAAACTTGCAAAAATCAATATACCCCTCGGACGGTTGTTCGATCACTAATAGCGTTTCTCGAATGCCTTCAGCTAGTCGTGTTTGTGACCAACGACAGCATTTCCGAATTTCGGGATGCAATCGTCTGTTGCGTCATCAGTAGTAGCACTTCGAGAATACTCGACGACACACAGTTTTGGAAATGTCAGCATCGACGTCGACGACCTATAGTCAAACATTTATGCTGCAACTACACCGCTTGTGGTCTATGGAAAACATATGCGATGACGTGAAGGAATCAATTTTGGCATTTTTACGTCAGCGGAGGCCTAAAAACATAAACTTGGTTAACGAAAAGATGTCGTTGAACTCCACCTTTCCCAACCCTATGCCTTATCTCTTCAAATTGAGCGATGGGAAATCTATCGGAGTTGTTTGCTCACCGGACGACCCTACGGGAATTCACACGATAGAAAAAGTACCGATCACACGAACACTATCGTCAACTTGTGGTGAAGTTATTCATACACCATCCTTGGTTTGTTTTCATTTTCATCATTTCTACTACGTTTCGATATACGGCAATCGCCTTTTTCGAGCATCACTACATACTAATTTTTCTGAGCTAATTCGACCCCCTCCGAATTGTCGTAAAATTGGAGGCATCTGGTCGCTAGGTGAAGACCTGGTGCTGCTGTCTGCGAATGATCATCGTATGTACAAAGCACGAGGGAACGAGTGGCAGTTCGTTTTTGATCTGGCAAGGGTCAACACTACTGTTGCTGATGTTGCATTGAGTCACGATAGCATCGGGAGAATTCAACTGCTGCAATACCCGAGCTCGGGAGAAGTTGAATGCTACTATCGTCTGATGCATAACGATGAGCCTAAGGGGAAAGTGTCAACTATGCGTTTGCGAGGTGCTATTCAAATGAGTTTCCTGCCCGAAAGTTCAGATGGATTGGCATGTGTATGTCAACTTGACGATTCGACGAGGCTGTCAGCAACGCCAACGGCATCGTTCATTGTTGTGGTGGTTGATTTTATAACGGCTAGTGTATTATTCACTAGCGATGTCTTCAACAGCTTTGGTGTCGTATCAATGGTTGTGACGGAGGAGTGGTATGTCGCTGTGATGGGTGAGGTTATGATTGATAACTTTGATGATGATGAAACGCATCGTCGTGTGGCTTTGAAAGGCATGCAATTCGAGATGTATAGTTTTTCTATTCACACATGACTCGTGCTGTTGCCGCTACTGCATGGTACAAGGCAGTGTTGTTGTGTTAGCAGTGGGCTCATTCATTTTGTTCATTATATCATCTAGCTGAAATTTTTATAGTCAACTTTTTTCTCAGCCGTTATACTCGTGAAACTCAGCGATATTGGAAGTTTGTCTATATGAAGTTGTTGAGAGTGTGAGGTTTCAGGCACTGAATTGTCGATGGAAGTCACTACTTTAGTTAGCTCAAGTGGTGGAGCACTTGGATGTCATTGGCGAGGTCGTGGGATCGATTCGCCTTTGACGGTTTTTTTCGTGTCCTCAATTCATCGTGGTTCATCACCCTGGTGGTTAAATTGTGAATGACTTGTTGTGTACTAGCTTGAATGGGTCATCGCGAGGAATGCAATAAATCAACAACATACTAAACAAAAGATATCTTGAGGGTGAGATGGTTAGATTCAAAACAGGTCAGCTTAGTGACCACAAGAATTGTGCATGTTCGGACACCTCGAGCTCAATCGCGGCAAATTTGCAGTAGCGATGATGTCTTTTCACGACGAGTTTAGGAAAAGGTGATGACAGTTGACTTTTCAAAGTGGGAAAATATGGACATGGTCAACCACTTTTGTTGATGAAAATTCTTAGGAATTTTTTTCGAAATTTTTATTGTTTTTGTTTGCGCTTCCACACAAAGTCGTATATATACTTCTATGCTTAGCTGAAGAACAGGCGAACATATTTTCTTCCAACGCTGGAGTTTCATCACCCGTTTTACGTGAAGTGATATGCAGTAGTCGTGAAATAAGTTTTCCATATCACTAGGGTGGTGGTGAAACTCCATTGATAAGTCTATTTTCAACTACCCAATGCCTTCTTCGACTGCCGCTCCATCGAAACCACAGCTAAATCGTTCCTTCTCCATCATTCAAGCCCATAACGAGCAGCGTTCGGAGCTCCTCGACGTGCTATCTGATGTTAAAACTAAGGTCCAAGATCGGCTCGGGATTGTCGATTTCCCTTTACCACAATTCATACTAATCGGCAAGCAGTCTGTGGGAAAGTAATAATATATTTCGGGGAGAAATTTTCGCAAAATTGGAAAATTTACATTTGAAAATGTTAACTGCGTAGATGTTTTACTGGAAAATATATTCGAAATTGAAAATTTAGTCGGACAATTTTAGCGGAAAATACGAATTTTTCATATATAAATTTTTCGGCCGATTTAACCGCATTTACATCTCGTGAAGAGCATCAACTCGAAATTGTTTTTTTAATTTTTTTTTATGAAAGTTCAGTTTTTTTTCATGTTTTTCCTGCGAGTTTTTTCTTTTTTTCTGTTTTTTTCTACTGTCACAACGACAAGTTTTTCTGATCTTTTTTGAATGCCGAGCAATACTCGCAATTAGCCTCCCATCGTGGTCGTTCATTTTGTTTATAGAATTTCAACGTGTGGGGGGAAACATGCAAATGTTTAACTGCATATGTTGATGACAATATGAAAATTCTGGAAAAATTTTGAGAATTTAGTGTTTGTTTTTGAACATTTCTTTCGAAGTTTGTGTTTAAACTTGTAGGAAAACTCAGAACTCAGCAGGTGAGGAAAGCGATTACATATATTCATACTCCAACACTGTATAGGAAACTCTTCTGAGCTCAGCAGCTGAGGAAAGCGATAACATATATTCATACTCCAACACTGTATAGGAAACTCCTGAGCTCAGCAGCTGAGGAAAGCGATTACATATATTCATACTCCAACACTGTATAGGAAACTCCTGAGCTCAGCAGCTGAGGAAAGCGATAACATATATTCATACTCCAACACTGTATAGGAAACTCCTGAGCTCAGCAGCTGAGGAAAGCGATTACATATATTCATACTCCAACACTGTATAGGAAACTCCTGAGCTCAGCAGCTGAGGAAAGCGATAACATATATTCATACTCCAACACTGATAGGGTTTATACGCATACCGTTTGCGAATCGTTTATAGGAGTTTCACCCTAGTGATATGAAAAACAATTATTTTGCAATTCACTTCGCGGAAAACAATTGTTTTATACGCCATCAGTTTACACGGGATGTTGTTTCACTTCACGTTAAATAGTGAATGATAATTTTATTTTTATTATTTTCTCTTCGTTGTATCGTTCAGCTCAGGTCTCGGCTCATCGAGGCGCTTGCTGGTGAGCAATTCAATTTCGTGAGTGGCACGATGGGAAGTCGCCGACCAACTGTTTTGGAGTTTCGAAATGTCCAGCAGAATAAGCACTCGAGATGGTATGTTATGGATAAAAAAGTAATAAAATGTCTACAATTTTATCACATATTTGGGAAAATATGAAAATTATGAAAAAATTTTGGGAAAAATTTGGGAAATTAGTGTTTTTTTTCGAACATTTTCACTCCTAGTTTGCATATAAAATTGTATAATTAGTGAGAAAATTCAGAGCTCAGCTGAGGAAAGTGATTACGTATATTTCAACACCTGAAAATTTCGAAAAAAATTCTCGTTAGCCTGCTTGAATTCGTGTATTATTTCTGAGGAAATTTCCGATTTTTTTTCAGACTAATAAATGGCAAGAACATCCTCTTCACGAAGTTACTCAAATCATCGGTGAAGCTCACGAGTCGCTCGGGGCCTCAGTAACAGATGAGCCTGTGTAAAAACAGGGGGGAAATTTTGCGGAAAATTTGGATATTTTCGGAAATTTTTGCAGAAATTCTGTGTAGAACGCGTATATGGTATATAACAGATGAGCCTGTGTAAAAACAGGGAGGAAATTTTGCGGAAAATTTGGATATTTTCGGAAATTTTTGCAGAAATTCTGTGTGGAACGCTTATATGGTGTATAATGGAGTTTCACAACCCGTTTTATGTGAAGTGTGAAAAACGCGATATTCGCGGTGATATGCAGTAGTCGTGAAATATATTTTTCACTAGTGTTTTTCATATCACTAGGCTTGTGAAACTAGAAAAAATGCGAATTAGAAAATTTAAATTTTTGGAGAATTTTTTTTCATACATTTTCTGAAAGATTTCATATCAGGTATGTTCGTGTTGAATCACCATTTTGCGTTGATATGCAAATCGTCGATTTGCCCGGTTTTCGAGACTTCGCCCTCGATAAGGAGAAACAGCAGCTTGCTGACCAAATTGATAACCTGGTAATTTTGTGGTGCAGTGACGCTGATTTCTTTGGTTGTCTGAGTTATTCGCGTAAGACTCCATGTGAAAAAGGCGATATTCGCGGTTGTTTGTGAAATATGTTTTTTTTCATATCACTAGGGTGAATGAACATAATAACAACAAGAACAATGGAGTTTCACGATTACCCGTTTTACGTGAAGTGGCGTAAAACTCCGTGAAAAAGGCGATATTTGCGGTGATATGCAATAGTCGTGAAATATGTTTTTCACTAGTGTTTTTCGTATCACTAGGGTGGTGAAACTC